CAGGCGACGTCGGCGATTTACTCGGTGATGCCGATGGATGTCCTCCAGCACCTAATCGCCAAAGCAACGGCGAAGGAGGTGTGGGATTCGCTGAAGCTCATGTTCGAGGGACACACCCGTGTCAAGCAAGCCAATCTCCAAACTCTCCTAAGAAACTACGAGACTTTGGTCATGGGCGATGATGAGACCGTGGATGCGTTCGCTTCACGGGTGTCTACTATCGTCAATCAGATTCGCGCGCTTGGAGAGAATCTCACGGAGGCCTCGGTTGTCGGGCGGTTCTTACGCGTGGCCCCTCCCCGGTACCTGCAAATTGTCACGGCAATCGAGCAGTGCGTTGATCTCGCGACTCTCTCCATCGATGATCTTGTCGGACGGTACAAGGCTCACGATGAGCGGATGCGGTACAGTCTTCGGGATGGGAGGAACGACGAGCTTGTGATGCTCACGAAGGCACAGTGGATTGCCCTAGAAAAGCAAGACGGATCCACGAGCAGCAGCAAAAAGAAGGCGAAGCAGCGTTCGTCGAGAAAGAAATTCGTCAACTCGGATGACGACTCAGAGGATGAGGCTGCACCGCCGCCAAGGAGAAAGTTTGACATCAGGAAAGTGAGGTGTTATAACTGTGGCCTCCTTGGTCACTTCAAGGCTGACTGCGAGGAAGCACTGAAGCAGAAGGCGCTCATTACCCAGCAAGGAAATGATGGTGACATGATGTTGATGTGTAAACTGGTGGACGAGGAGGATCCAGACTCTCAAGCATTGACTAAAGAAATTGTCGAGCTTGCGAAAGAAAAAGTTTGCCATCATGATCGTGGGTCGGAAACCTGTGTCGAAGCTACAGATGCGGGGAGTGATTCCGAAACTTATGTCAGTGCTATAGACGTAAGTGCTATCTTTGCTGGAGCGAAAGAAGCGATAGCTGCGTGTGCTCGGCCATGAAGAAGCAGTCTTCGTGCATTGCACCCAGAGAAAACAAAGGCGTACGTGGCGCCCGAAGTCCATGATGAAACAACATACGTAAGTGCAACTGATGTTGATGCTGATGCAAAGACGGACACGGATGCAACTCAGGCGTACGTGGCATCAAAAGTTCACGAAGGGAGGCGTACTGGAGTTGTGTCGCTGAGCAGAACAGGCAAGCTAGGTGGTGGCGCAGCTTGTTCTGGTGAAGTGAGTGCTGCGAGCGCTCGACCAGGACGTTCTGGATGCAGCAGCTACACCGTCGCAGCAGACGGGCCGAAAGGAGACGGCCTACCCAGCCAACCGAGCAACTCAGAAGTGGACACACGGCCTAGTGGCCAGGCCGGCTCACAAGTAGTGTGTGAGTCATGAAAAGAGGCAACAGCAACGGCTGGACGCTGCCCATGTGCTGGTGATGCGTATGCATCAGGAGCCCAGCCGGCTGCATGCTTGTACGCATGGGAGGATGCCCTGTTGGCACCTGCATCACCTCCGAAAGCACTGGAGGAAAGGACAACGTCACCTACATCGATAAATCTACAGCCGGTGTTACACCCATATCCGAGGAATACTCTTCGGACGATTGACCCGGTAAAGGTGAAGGAGTGGGCGACGGTGTCTAGCAAGCGCCGAGGAACTGGCGAAATTTGAGGACGCAAATACAGATGAGTGTTGGCGTCAATGCTATGAAAGAAGAGTTGGGGTCGATCCACGACAATAATTCATGGAGCTTGTGGATCTTCCCAACAATGAAAAGGCTATGGAGCTCAACTGGGAATTCAAGGTCAAGAAAGATGTTGAAGGGTGCATGAAGCACAAAGCGAGGTTTGTAGCCAAAGAGTATGTGCAAGAGAAAGGTGTGGACTTCGAAGAAGTGTTCGTTCCCATTGCAAAGATGGAGTCGGTGAGATTACTCATTGCTCTAGCGGCTCAGGAATCATGGAAGATACATCACATGGATGTAAACTCCGCGTTTTTGAACGGCGAGATAGAAGGAGATGTGTATGTGAATCAACCACCGGGTTTCATCAAAGAGGGAGAAGAGCACAAGGTACTGAAGTTTCGAAAAATCTTGTATGGGCTATGGCAAGGACCTCAGGAGTGGAATGTCAAACTTGATCAGACATTGATTTCTCTTGAATTTGAGGAAGCCCCACTAGAGCATACGATGTACAAGAGAGGTGAAGGAAGGGATCGTCTACTAGTTGGCATCTACGTCGACGACCTATTGATAACGGGAGCAAATGAAGAGTTGATTGCAAAGTTCAAGCTACAGATGAAAGAGCTTTTCAAGATGGATGATCTCGGTCTTTTGAGCTACTACCCCGGGAGCGTGGCATGAAATATTGCAATCCAATTGACGCTCCAACGAAATCTCGTCTTGAGCTGAACAAGAAGAGTAAAGCACCTGCAGTTAATGCAATAGAGTATATTGCAGCTGCTACTGCGGCGTGTGAAGGTGTGTGGCTAGGGCGGCTACACGGTGATCTCATGGATCGAGATCCGGAACAATTGGTGCTTAATGTTGATAGCAAGTCTGAAACTTTTCTACGCGAAGATCCAGTGCGGCATGATAGAAGCAAGCACACTGATATGGTGTATCACTACATAAAAGACTGCGTGGAAGAAGCTAAGATGAAGGTCAACTACGTTTGCACCGATGATCAAATGGCAGACATCCTAACCAAGGTTTTGGATCGAGAGAAGCTCTTGAAGATGCGAAGAAGGATCGGCGTCGGAGCCGTGACGTAACAACGTAGTGTTTAGGGGGTGATTGTTGGAAGTAAACCTGACATACCCTCCCAGCTGGCGGTGTTTGGGTCATGTACGAACATGTATCCAATTAGTATTTGAGTCAGAGTTAGTCTAGGAGTAGTATTACTCTAGATAGCTTAGCTTTCGTACTATATATATGTACGTACCCCTGGACTTGTAACACCACCGTGAGATCAATAAAGCAATACACCAGGCTCGAGACGGGCCTGTGGCAATCATCCAAATACTTGTGTGCGTGCGTTTGTTTCCGGCCGGCTGGCCGCCGTGCACGTACATGTGATTTTGGTGTTGCCTACGGAAAGATTGATTAGGAGCAGACTAGCTAGTACAAGCTAGCTTTGCACTACGGTGTGTATCGACGTAAAGCACTTCGTTGAGATTGTCGGCAAAGTTTGTTCGTCATCGTCCATAGTCGGTCGTATCACCGTCGCCAGAAAGTACTCGGCGTCGGGTCTGGGCCAACACTAGCATAATGCACTCAGCAAACCGGCGGTCACTCGGTAAAAAACCATCTTCCGGTAGTAACTACTTGTAACAAGTGTACAATTGAACATATATTATTCCCCAACAGACCTACTGAGTACTTGTCCAAATTGGTTGTCATTCTTCAGTGAGCAGTGATATACGGACGATACGTTGTCAGCTGATTCTTGAACGGTGGATAAAGTTATCCATTAGATTGCATCATTTGCAAATCAGCACCGTACAAGGTGGGCATCGTTCAGATTTTGTCCATGCACTGCCGTGTGCAGAGCAATTTCGTTCTTCAGTGAAGCTTGCTTGCTAGTGCCAAGGACGTCGACCCTATGGACTTCATAATTTCCACGAGTCGCGGCACTGACCCCCTGCTTCCTCCAATCAACTAGTCTAGACCTTTGCCGCATTACGCTAGGTACTATGTCCTTCAAAGCTGTCGTGGTGGCACTGTCTTTTTATGTTTTTGTTTCTGAACTAACTTTGTACCGAGTATGATGGTGATGTTTGTCTTTGTTTACAAAGTTGAGCACACCTGCTACGTGCCAAAGCTTCCAGGTCACGGACATATGCATAGCTGGTCCACAAACATGCATGCAGCCCGAGTGACGCGTAGGCCCTGCAACCTCCAACCTGTCGTGCCCCCGTGATTTGCTGCAGTACATCCGCCGGTGTGTGCCATGGCACCTCACCCCGCAACCAAAGACTGATCGACATAAGCAAATGTGAGAGTATCAGATGATATGGAGCCTTAGGCTATCCGGTGATACGAGCTCCGGCGAGCCTTTGGATCTAAAATCCAAGGGTCACCAACCGAGGTCCTAGACTTGCGTGTAAATGTCAAACTCCTTGAGGTTTCGGCGAATTTGCAGGAGATCAACGCGCCAGGCGCCAGCCTTGGATCTAAGATACAACGGCTCGCGGGAGCTGTTATCATGCTCTACATCACCTGATATTTTCCCAGCAAATGTAGCGCTCCAGCAAGTCTACATGGTACTAATCTGCACACATGACAACATTCGACAGCTCTCGGTTTTGTTCCATGCGCCCGCGCACTGTTTTTGTTTGTTGCCAACGTCCCGGTCACAAGCCCCCCTTGACTCTCGCAAATAGGCGTGCCCACGATCTCAAACGGCTTGGCTCGCGGGAGCTGTTATCATGCTCTACATCACCTGATATTTTCCCAGCAAATGTAGCGCTCCAGCAAGTCTACATGGTACTAATCTGCACACATGACAACATTCGACAGCTCTCGGTTTTGTTCCATGCGCCCGCCCACTGTTTTTGTTTGTTGCCAACGTCCCGGTCACAAACTCACAACCGGATCAAGGTTAAGCCCCCCTTGACTCTCGCAAATAGGCGTGCCCACGATCTCAAACGGCTCGCTCCTGTCGCTCGATCGGGGATTGGTAGCCGGGTCTCGATCACCGCCGTCCCGTGGCCGCGAAACAGTACCAGAATTCAGGCGATCGAAAACGACACTGACGATAATTGAAACTGCCAACGTACGTAGATGGGCCTGGCTAATTAAAAACGGGGAGATTCCATTCAATTCTCAGGTTTTGTCTGCCCTTTTCTGCGTGACCAGTACGTGGCGACACCAAAACTAGCCGTAGAGTACCTACTAGCCAGGTGGTGCCGCGGAATTATTGTCGCTTGGGTTTGTTGCTTCCGTGACCCCCTGCAAGGCTGCAACCTGCAAGTTGGGCCTGTGGACGTGGCTGTATTAAGCAAGCGCGAGGGAAGCAATCATATTCTAAAGCTAGTAGCATAACACCAACTAAGGGATGGATCCGCTTGATGAGGAGTCCTTCTTGGAGGAGCTCATGCCGCTTCACCGGGAGGAGGCGCCGGCGCCGCCGTACCCGGGCAGCAACAGCATGATGACGATCAGCGACCTCCTCTTCTACGGCGGCGGCAAGGGCTGCACTGCCGAGGAGAGGAGTGGCCCATTTCAGCAGCCCATGCTGCCCTCGCCGCCGGCCGTGCGTCCGCACCCGCACCAGGAGTTCAACTTCAACTACCTGAGCGAAATGTGCAACCCCTGGAGGAGCTGCATCCCTGACCCTCCCGCGGTCGTCCAGGCTGCTGCCGGCAAGGCGCCGCTCACTCTTCCCCTCCATGACGCTATTGCGAGCTCGTCAACGTTCGTGTTCGGGGGAGGGGCCGGGGAGAGCTCGGGGATGAGAAGCATGCCGGCCTCCGGCACCCACCCGGAGAGCAAGCTCAATGCCGGAAGCGGAACTCCGTCAAAGAACCTCATGGCGGAAAGGCGGCGCCGGAAGCGGCTCAACGACCGCCTCTCCATGCTCCGGTCCGCCGTGCCCAAGATTAGCAAGGTGTGCTGTCGCATCGCCCTTAATTTCTGTATATCGAATTATCTATGAGTTGTGGACCTTAATTAACATGTGTAGATCTAATTAACCGATCAATCGAACTGCACATGGATAGGACTGCGACCCTCGGGGACACCATAGACTACGTCAAGGAACTGACCGAGCGGATTAAAACCGTGGAGGAGGAGATGGGCACCACGCCCGAGGAGCTGAACCTGCTCAAAAATTTCTCCAGCGGTGGCAACGAGGGGACGCCGACGAGGAGTTCCACCAAGTTATGTGCTAACGTCGAGAACCAAGGCGGGGGCGACACGAAGATTGAGATCTGCTGCTCGACAAACCCCGGAGCGCTGATTGCGACGGTGACCGCGCTGGACGTGCTGGGGCTGGAGATCGAGCAGTGTGTCGTGAGTTGCTTCAGTGACTTCGCCATGCAGGCCTCGTGCTCACAAGTAAACTCCTTCTGAAATACTAGCTCTAAGTTTTCCTTCATTGCATGCCAATGAAATTCGATCGCCAATGTCCATTCACGGCGTGCCCGGTGTGTAGGCGGAAGGGAAGAGGCAGGTGATAAGCACAGACGAGATCAAGCAGGCATTGTTGAGGAGCGCAGGCTACGGGGCAAGGTGTCTCTAAGCTATAGCTAGCTAGAGATACAAGCGGTTTGTAATCTCGATGAATACGTGCTAGATTTGCTCTTTTTTATGAATTAGTGTAGGAGTTTTTTGGGGAATATCTTCGATGAGTATTTGTTGTCACCGGATTGTCTTCTTTGTGTGCGTGAGATGCATGAATGATTGAATGGAGTGGATACCCATTGTTGGAGTGTTAATTTGGTTGCACACTCTTACGGCTTCTTAGTCCTATTTACGTACAGGCCGGGTGTTACTCACAATGCTTTGTATCACTTGATGCTACATTCTAAGATAACAAAGTCGCCCTTTATGAAAGAAAAAAACTCTTACAGCTTCTTGTTTCTTCTGTTAGTTTAGCTGTTTCTGGACATGAATGGCTGGTCATGTTTTCTCAGACGCTTCATAAACTTGATAGGAATCTCAAGTCTGGTAGTTAGGAGGACCTATTTCCTATAGTTTCTGTTAGGAAATTAGTGCCTGAAATTTCTGACCATAACCCTCTATGACTTTCGTCCGGGGATGAAGAGAGAGAGGCACCTAAAACCCGTGAATTCTGTTTTGACCTGTCTTGTGTTAAAAACGATGAATTCCTAGGTCTGGTCGATAAGATCTGGAATAGGACTGTGCAGGCCTCAGATCCTATTGACGTTCTTGACATCAAGCTCAATAAAATTAAGATATATTTTAAAGAGGTAATTACATAAATGGTGCCTAAACTTGCCACCAATGTTCAGTTTGGTGCATGAACTTGAAGAATACGCTGATTTGATGCAAAAACATGGTTCTTTGATGCAAATACGGTTCGAATCACGTTTGCATACGTCCGCGCTGCTGACTAGGATGCAAGCATGGTCGTGGGACCCAATGTCAGCGAGTGCCATCGCGCACAGAAGCGTGTGGCCGCGCGGCTGGGTGAAATATTACGGAAACCCCCTTCGTTCTGTTTATTTTTCGCACATAAGCCGTGACCCTCGATCCCCTTTCCACCGCGGCGGCGCGCTCAAGTAGGCAAATAAAAAGGACAGCGGCGAGGGCCTCCTCCGTGACCGTGTTCTTCACCAGGCACACCGGTTGCGCAGCCGGCACGCCCTACGCCCTGCCGCGGTGCTCGAGGCATGCCGCGTTGAAGCCGTCCGTGCCTAGCGCCAGCGCGTCCAGGAGCATGTCCGCCGGCTGCCACAGCTCGTCCGCCGGCTTGTGCAGCGGCAGCACGTGGGCCTTTGCCCACGGCTCCAGTTGCTGCAGTACCTCCAGCCTCTACGGCGCAAGGTACCTCCTCCGTTCCTCCTCATCCTCCCGCCGCTCGGCCATTGGTCCTCCTCTGCTACTCAAAGCGCTCCTACACCTGTCTCAAGGGTGACTTGTGTGGGCACAGAGATGCGCCTGCTCGACGTGTATGCAATGAAGGTGTGACACAGGGCCATTGTTTTTGGTGTGACAGTATGAGGTAACATTGGGTCTGAATTCAGGAGGTCCTCTTAATTCTGTGGTTTGTGATAATTTGAGTAGATCACATCAGTTATTACTGGAGCCTCTTATTAGTGTGTGAATTGTTTATTAACAGGATGAGAGGACTTGTGGTTATGCCAAATGGATCGACAAACCATGGCAAGGAAGGGAGAGAATTGTGATTGCTAATCTTGCTAGCAAGAAAGAGGTTCTGGAGAAGAAGCTGAAGGAGAAAGATGGTGACATAGAAGCTGTGAAGGAGAAGCGGATAATGGAGAAGAGAATGATTGCAATGGAGATCAGTTGCTATCCAGAGATAGGATGATAATGTTTTGCTATATTAATGTATTTTGGTTTAGTCGCAATCATGTTTGCAATGGCTGGCAGGTCCTGATGCATTTTGTTTTAATGTATTTTGGTTTAGTTGAGACAAAATTAGTATTTTGATGAACTCAATGAGATTTACTACTGAAATGCTTGGTCTGTGTATTGAAAGAAAATGGCAATTCGAGATGTTTTGTTTCCTGTACTGCAGTTTTATATTAATGTCAATTTCATGTACAACAATCTCCTGTACCGAATCAATCTCCTGTATCAAATTGAAATTATTGTTTCATGTACCTGTACATCAAACATGATTTGAATCGAATGATTCATGTACTACAGTAGTATATCATAACTAAATTTTGACAGCACCAATTGATATTCAGTGCCAAATTTTGACAACAATTGTGTGAACATCATAGCTAAAATTTGACAGCAACACGATGATATTCGGTGCAAAAATTTTAAATTTTGATAGCAAGAAAGTGATATTCAGTGCCAAATTTTGACAACATTTTTGTGGTCATCACAACTACAGTTTGACAGCAAGACAGTGATATTCAGTACCAAATTATTGACGGCAACACTATAAATAGGTCTAGTACATAACATGACAGCCAAATACTTAAGTTCAAGGTACATCACATCCAAATGTTCATTACATTAATAATAACAAGTATGGTAATCAAAATAGTCCTCTAAGCAAAAGATCAAGTTCATTGATGAACTTAGGTGCATTTTCATCAAGTTCAGACATGAATGGTTCATTGACAGCATCCTCAGCTAGCTCCGCTTCATAGTCACATGATGTATCCTTCTCTCTGTGATCATCCACTTCTTTATCTATGTTTGTCTCGAACAAATCATCGTCCCCATCTCTATATCAAAGTCACTATCATAGAAATCCTCACCAGTCTCTAAATCTGCTGTTGCTGCGTCTACTCCACCTTCCTCCTCTATTTCTTCATCACCACAACCTGATGATGATCCTTCCCCAAATAACCTCCTTCCCCTCCTATCATTTGGCACACTTCTTTCCTCGTCTTGGATATTTTTATCATTTAGCATAATGTCATCTCTCATAACTCTGTTAACTGTCTCTCCATGGTCTACAATCAGCAACAAATTCTTGTGCTCTATAGTTGCTGCTATCATTGCAAGGATGTCGGCAGCACACTTTATCTCTCTTAGTCCATCACCCAATGTCTTTCCCGGCTGACACCAAAAAACATCAAGCTTTACACTCTTTCTGTCATACCCTAGCTGCTGCAGAAAATCATCAATCCTTAAAATGGACCAAGTATCACTGTCACAGTTGTCAAACCAGTCAACTTCATAATCCTTGTATGTGTTGTTGCTATCAGTTCCACAAAAGAAGCCTCTGCGGTGAATCTGAACTCAGAAAAGACCATCAAAAGCATCTGCAATGCAAAGAAGAAGTAACTAGTTCACTCTTACCTCAGCTTACAACACACAATTTAGTAAACAAAACAAAATTCAGTTAATTCTGAATGATGTTAACTTTAGTTAATAATTCATTTAGCATCAGTAAATATGGATAAATAAGTGGTAAGAACAATATCTTGACAGCATAGAATTCACTTCATAAAACACTTGCAGTAAACAACCCAAAATTGATAAAACAAACAAATTATTGACAGAGAGTCTCCCGCTGTGTTGGTATGATAGACTCACACACGCACACAGGTTGCTCGGTGGAATTTCTGGAAAAAACAAGGAAGATCTAGCAGAGTAAGAAACAGAGCACACATACACACGAGCAACCTTTGGTACGAATGCCTTCCACTTTTTTTCTGCCTACCAACTAATGGTTAGGGTCTGGGCAGGAAGAGATTCAGCTCATCTATCAGGATGATTTGATGCCCCATGTCAATGAATGAAAGTCCATTCTTTCGCAGATAATGAAAAAGAAAAAAGTGCCACATGATGGATGGTTGTCATGGGGAGGAAGAGGTTCCTAGTGGTTCAGACGAGTTCTTGTCTTTATAGAGCAGAGTAGGGACATCTGAAGGCTGAGTGGCTCTGCAGCTATGAAATACGGGTGTGATAAATTAAGGTAAGGCTCAATTGCATAATGCACACCAAAGATCTCTGTAAGCATATGCCAGGAGTTAATCTTCCATCATATAAAGAATGTGTACCAAAGATTTGAAGGCAACATCATATAAGCGTCTGTATGTCTGCTCTGTTTCTTACAAAATTGTCCAGGCAACAATGCCCTTTGCTTGCTGGCTGCTTACAGAAACTCACCCAACAAGTACTGACTAGCTTACACTATGCACGTACATACATGGTCACTGATCAAAATTGAGTGTGTACCTACTAGTCAAAATTCAGTTAAGCAAGTGTCAAAAATTCAGTTAAGCGTCCAACATTCAGTTAAGCATCTGTCAAAAAGTTCAGGAATGCTACTGCCATCAAGTTCAGTAATGCTACTGTTAAATTTTCAGTATACCTACTTCATATTTCTAATAAGATCAAATCGACCATCATCTATGTCATCAAATCTGCATTTTTTTGTCCATCACAAATACCAAAAAAGAGGTGCCTTTCTAACCCACACATTACCTAAGAACAAACATCAGTTTCAAATCCTAAAGTGTCATTGCGCATTAGGGGAATAACCTAAACACAACTAAGAATCATCACAGCAGCACCATGACATACAGATCCTAGTTCCTGTCGCGCCATACATACATTTAAAACCCTATAGAAACCAGGAGACAGAGGGGCAGAGGAGACGACGCAATTCTCACCATATGGAGGAGCTGCATCTCCGAGAGCTCGCCGACGAGGCGCCGCCATTCGCGCCCGCGACGATCAATGGTGCCGTCACGATCCACCCAGGCGGCGGCACCGAACGATCGAACTAGGAGAGAGACGACGAGAAGAGCCCGAGGCAGATCATGACACAGGCGGGATGTTAGGATATGGGCGGGCTGCTGTGTCCCACCGGCTCAGGGGCTTATGTGCGAAAAATAAACAGATCAAAGGGGTTTTTGTGATATTTCACCCAGCCGCGTGGCCACATGCCTCTGTGCGCGATGGCACTAGCTGACATTGGGTCCCGCAGCCACGCTGGCATCTAGTCAGCAGCGCAGACGTATGAAAACGTGATTCGGACTGTATTTGCATCAGAAAGCCAAGTTTTTGCACCAAATCGGTGTATTCTTCAAGTTCGTGCACTAAACTAAACATTGGTAGCAA